CTTTTTTTTTTTTTTCTTTTTTTTTTAAATTAAGCTTTTGCACATTTTTAAGTTGAATTTTTGGCCAATTTCATGCTATCATTTAGATTTTAAATAAATGTTTGGCTTCAGCTTGAAGAAATCAGAATGCCTTATGGTGATGGTAAAAAGTAATGTGATCTGTTTAACCATTTGAGTCCAACAACCATCACTGAATGCCACATGTAGGCCAGGGTTATTGGGAAAGCTATACCTTGATCTATTCTGTGCTGTTTTTTTATTCGACATTCTAAGAATGTGTGAAAATCCGGGTCCTTAAAGCCTGTAGTTGGGACACCCTTCATTTATTCTCTTCTCCCCCTTTTAGGTTGTGTTATCTCTATTTACAGAGCATATTTTAAAAATTTACATTTTGGATAAAGTTGGGAATCCCTCTAAGTTTTTTTTAATTTTGTCTGTCCCCCTGCTGGGGAGTTTCACCCCTTTTTTTTTTTTTTTGTGCTGGTGACCATCATCACTGATACAGAAAGTGATGGAAAATTCTAATTTTACAATTGTCACCAGAACATGAGGTAAGGGCAAATCTCCTCAGTAGGCCACAGCACAAAACAACTAAAAGGGGCTTTAGCCTTTCCCTACTCTTAGCCAGAACTACAAGTTTTGCCTAGCCAAATACTTTAAGATTTTTCTTAGAGATTCAACATTGACATTCATTTGATATTGTGCAAAGAGCTGTGACTTCTAGTGGCCAATCAGATCTCAGCTTTTTAATGTACATTGATAAAGATAATTTCTGGGTGTGTACATTGCCCTTTCTCAGTCATCTCCTCACAATTGTGCCATTGATTAGTGCTGGGCATTTTCCAGCTAGCCACATGCCTAAAACATTACTGTTGGTTCCTGACATTTTTCTGTTAGAAAATAAATCCTCAGGCTGGTTTCTAACTACTACTTTTTCAGTGATCCCCTGCACTACAAAGGTTTACTAAGGTAACCTAACTTGTTCCGGCCAGAAGCCCAGTTAGCATACCTGTTCTCTGAGTTTCAGTAGTGCAGGGATTAAAACAAACCTGTGTCTCAGCAGGAGCTCCGTATGTTTAAACATAATATCACTATTCCAGTGGGGGGTTTTTTAAATCTGATTTCACCTTTTTACATGTTTGTATAATATAATTAAGGGCAAATCATCCAAATTTTTGTTAATCCCGCCTTTAACCTGGTAAAGCATTGGTTGTGACATTGTTCTAAAAACAAACTTGGCAGCTTCAGTTTCACACTAAAGTTAAAAGGCCAGTAAACTGGAATGTCTGCATTGTTTAAGTGAAAGGGTTATTACTAGCTGAACCTGTATATGCTTTCAGGTACACATTCATCACTCACACATATTCAGCACTCTGCAATTCAGAGCTTAAGTGACACTAAACTCAGGAGTTACATTTTAAAAATACATTCAAGTACCATAACTATTTACATGTTTTTATCTTATTTGTGTATCACTCGGCTGTAGATCCTCAAATCACCTCTGAATTGATGCTGGCACTGTCCTTCCTTCTGGAGGGTGGCTACTTTTTTTCTCCATGGTCCCTGTGTGTGTTGTTAAGTAGCCACCGCTCCAAGCTCGCTCCTGTGATGGACTACAATCTCAATACACATTAGCAAACTCAACTAGAGATTGTTGTTAATCAGGGAGTGATCTCGGAGTGTTGACTTCTTTACAACACACACAGGGACCATGGGTAACAAAAGTAGCCACCCTCCAGAAGGAAGGACAGTGTCTGCACCAATTCAGAGATGATTGGAGGATCTACAGCTGAGTGATACACAAATAAGATACATTTTTGTTAATAAGGTACTTTAATGTAGGGTTGCAACCAAGTAATTGATAATAATTATGAGAATAGTTGTCAACTATTCTCATTATGTATTAGTTGGTTGGATCCCCTAGCTCTCTCCTCCATGCTGGGAGGAGGGCACAGTGGGCGGGTGCAATAGCCAGCCTGCTATTGGCTATTGCAATTTGAAATGGCCAGCCCACTACCTGCTGTATATACATTGAGCTGCCGTCTGTGGAATCTTGCCACCAGCAGCTGTCATTCCCGGGCTGAAGCAATTCAAGCGCTATGTGCTTACAATACAATTATTAAAATATATATATAAAGGGTGGGGGAAAAAAGTCATTTTTGGTTTCGGCCTGACAAATTCTGCTGTGGGAGGTGCGCTGCAGAGCAATTAGTTTCTTAGTGGGGGGAAAAAGTCATTTTCGGTTTCGGCCTGATAAATGCTGCGGGAGGTGCATTGTGGTGCCATTCATTTCAATGGCACCCCAAAGCGCCCCCGACCCACAGTGTGATTGTCCGCACTGGAACGCACGGTACCACAATGCCATACGTTCCAGTGTGATTGCAAAAAATTGTGCATGCAGTTTTATTCTGAAGTAAACTTCTTGTTTGTAACACTGCATTTGTGTATTTTATTTTAAATTAAGGATGGGATTTATTTCATTTGTTTAAATCCGATTAATCAAAAAATAATCGGCCAAGTAATTTATTATGAAAATAATTATTAGTTGCAGCCCTACTTGAATGTACTTTTTAAGATTTACCTCCTGAGCTTAGTTTCCCTTTAATACATTAAGTTCATGTAGTGATCATTAGGAGAGTTTCTGCGCACAGTTCATTTCCCCTTGCGCTGTCCTTGATATGAGCCTGAAGATCTGGAAGTGCCACATCTATAGATCTTTGCTCACTTGCCTAGCTGTCAGCAGCTATCTTTGTGCCAGTACACATCAGATGTCTGTGTAGGTCCACACATCAGCAGACACAAATTGCATTCAGTTGTATTTTGTGTTCACCAATTTGCTGACATGTAATTTGTGCCCTGTGAGTCTTTGTGATCTTCACTCTTTGTATAAGGGCAGCTAGAATATATTGGCATCCTCAGATGGGTGATCATGTAAACCTAGTAGGTCATAGACGCTGCACAAAAAAATGAACATTAATACAATACATTTTAGGGATTTTTACACACTTCTATCTGGGTGCTGTTTGTAGCTCTTTCATATAAGGTAACACTTTTGGAATATTGGTCTCATAAAAATGTATTTTGGAACAGTTACTAAAGTCTTTTTTACTGTAATAAGTGGAAGGACTCTTTTGCCATCCATTTTAATTCTGCATATTGTTATGCTTTATGTGATTTACCTTCCAACCATCTTCATGTTGATAAACCTGGAGGAAAGAAAAATGGCTTCTGGCACTGGATAGGAGACACAGCTGTGACAGGTGAAGGTCTGATAGGTTCCCTTGTATGGGAGGAAAATGAAATAATCCTGTAATAGGACATTGGGAATATGTATCCTCTAGCATTATAACCATGCAGATGTGACGGGACTCTACTATTCTGTCCACCCATGATATAAACATTCACAGAGTTATTCACAAAAGGGTGAAGAGTTTGGAGAAGACAGGAGAAGTGAACAATCTAGGACAACATAGATGATTTAGAAAAATTCCCCAATTCAGCTCACTTTCTAGTTCAGCTATGTTGGCCTAGATCGGTCACTTCTCCTTCCTTCTCCAGACTCTTCACCCTGTTGTGAATATCCCTGTAAGTGATTACTGTTTAGAATTATTCCATTGTCTGTAGCAATCTGGTGATCAGACTAGTCTCCAGCATATGGCTCAGTGGCCTCTGTGCTTCTACACTCCTTCACTCCTTGCTGTTGCTTAAACTGAATCTGCACTTTTGCTGAGAAATCTGCATCCGTTTTGTAAGAATTCTTCATTGTAGTCAACTGCCATTTACTGCTTGGGAACCCACAGATGCATTCCAAACCCTTGCTATGTGCTAGGTAGGTAGTTATGCCTGCCACATGATCAGTCCCAGTGTCAAAGACGATAGCAAAAGGAATGAGCCAATCACAGGAGCAGGTAATTGCATTACGGGGGACATTCTGTAACATCAGTGTACTGAATCCCCCCAGTCTCTATGGTTATACAAATGCAATCTTTGATTTTTTTTGCCAGGTTTAGGAAATCACAGAGATTGATAAGAGACCCTTGAAGGGTAGATATTTGGGTTCTGTCATTGCTAACATGTTTTTAAGGTACAAGCTCTGGGCATGTTATCCTTCTCTTCGCTATGTAGCCAGTGGCATGTTGGGGTATGCATTCTGCCATGTATTTTGATTTGCGTAACAGCAAATTAAGGAGAATGATGACTGAACGTAAAGACATAGAGACAAGTAAGAAATGGGAGGATTTTGACAGTTTCTCTTTAACGGTGATCAAGATGGTCGGCTCGGACATTTTACATCTGTCTCCTGATAATTGTCATCTATATTTGGAGCATTAATAATTCCTGATAGACAGGAATGGGAGGAAGGACGGATGACCGATTGTGCCTGTGTATTTTGTCTTGTGTGTTCTCCCTCTGACACTTTTAGGTCCAGCTAACCCCCCCCCCTCCTGCAAATCTTCATCCTTTGCTTCTGCAATGGGCTTCCACAGAGCGGGGTTACATTCAAACATGGAATTTCAGAGTTGGCTGGATTCTAACAGATGGAATCAGCAGCACTTCTCATCCCTCTCCTCCTAAATGTCCAGACCCACACCATTACTATGGTAATTTCCTGGCTGGTCCCCCTCTACATGTTGGGTTTTCATGTATTTATGATTGAAAAGGAATGCGTCAGGAGGACTGAGATAGTTGTGACATAGCTAGTGGCTATAATGAGAACATTGAATCTGCACAGGGTGACTGAATACATTATTTATTTATTTTGGGAATACTGACCTCCATATATTTCCTCACCAATGAATTGTGAAATTTTCATGAAAAGACTGGTGTAACCCCCCAGGGGTGTGGAATTTTTTTCTAAAAACTACTTGTCCAAGGGCTAAAGAGGGGGCCAAATCTACTTGTCCTTCACGACAATCTACTTGTCC